AGACTCTATTGGGTTATTTTGCCGTATTCAAGTACCTACAATATTTGAACTGGCATCAAGTATGAAAAGGTCCCCTAAAGACTTCTCCAAATACAGCTTCTCTAACAGCAACGGTACACCCATCTCTGACAAAACACAACAAAAATGGGAATATAAATGAAGGACCATTTTGTAGTGAAAAACTATACATATGTATACACAAAATAGTTAGGAAATCTGTACAGCTGCTTTCTCTTAGTTCAATGAGAAGAAAGATGTGTACTAATATTGTTCAGACAAGATATCATGTCTGCATCTTGTAATTTGAATAACTAATATGAAGAGAGCAATGTGCAATGTGTTAATTATTGTAACTGTCCTAACCTGTTTGAATCTTTCTCATTACGATCAATAAAAAATTGCAGAAAAAGAGAAATGAAGTAATATAAATTAAATATAATAAAAATACATAAAATACAATAGTTTGTATTTTAACTCTTCCAAGATTATTTTTGAAAGTGCTGCTTTGTGGTTTGAGCCTGTGTCTGTACTTTTCTACGTATTAGTCAGTTTTTAGCTGAGACTATGTTGAAAATGTTTCATGATCAATCATAATTTGGTGAGTAACTTAAGAAATAAATTAACCAGCCAGGGATATGGCTCAGTGGAGTAAGTGCTTCCCTGGCAAGCACAAGGGCCTGAATTCAACCCCTGGTTCTGCCAAAAAAAAAAAACCCCAAAACAACAACAACAACAACAACAAAACAAATAAATTAAGATGCAAACATATGGTGCCATGTGCAATTTAATTTTGTTTACATTTAATGCATTTTCTTTTTTGAACTCTCACAACTAAAATTGGGAAAACATTTCATTTCCTCCCAGAAAGCCTGCATTTTATATTTATTTTCTACTAAAGGATTTATTACTATATTTGAGACCAAAATAGAATATTCATTAATGATTCAACATGAGATAAAAGCTTATTAGTTCATTTCAACAAAGAAAATTGATTAAAATATTATCTAGAGGAAACAATTTAATTACATATATTGTTTTGCTTTGATTGGCTCAGGTAGTTTTGACATTTTAAATATAAAATTAGATCATTTTGAGATGAGAGATTAACTTTACACTAAGTCCTATGATACCTATTATTCTACATTAT